GCCATTCGATGAATGTGCATGCGTATAAAAATGAGACATGTTATATGTACAAATGTGGATATCAAATGATATTAAATAATAATATCAATAAAGTAAGTACGTTGTTCTATAAATGTGATATTTAGCCGCTGTTTGGTACACATTCTTTCAAAACTCATTTTCAATTATACATTTTTCAATAAAATAATATTTTTTATCACATCAATAACTTTTTCTTACTTTTTAACCACGAATTTCTATTCATATCACTATTTAAAATACATTTTTTCCTCAATAATATCCATCAAACATAACCTTAGCACCAATGAGGCTATAATACATATTATGTGATATGATCAATGAAAAATAAAATTAAGTGACCAATTTAATTGTACATATCATTTAATATCACATTAATTTCACATAAGTAAGTGTTTTAACATCAATAATACTAAATGGCATGCTATTTGAACAATCTTTATTGACAATATTAATTGACAACATTTCATCAGACAACATCACATTCATCCATTTTAAGAATTGTTAAAAATTATTTTTTACATCAAAGACTCGGATTTTGACAAATACAAAATTGTCCATCAAGCTTGTCAATCATATTTATACAACTGACTATTGTAAGAACATGTTTGGTTAAGTTTAAAATTCGATTAAAATTGAAAATATAGTCGTTATTGAGTCTCACTCCTCTAATAAAAGTCAACAATAACGATTAATTTTTCAATTTTAATCTCTATCAAACACGCCTTAAATATAAAGGTCATAATAGGACATGGGTGGCTCATTCTGCTAGGCATAGCGCAATCATCGAAGTAGATTATTCTCTTCATTCGCTTTTTAGCCTGCAACGATATTGCCAATTGAATTTCTCTCACTGCCAAGCGTCAACGCAAAAGGCCTCTGTTCATTAAATTTTGTACTTTTAACAAGAATACGTAATACCCTAATAATGAAATGACTACTTTTTAGGTGCTTATTTATGATTATGATATAATTTTAAATAAATCACATTAAATTATTGTCTAATTTAGCTAAAAATTATATTTTTAATAAAATTTGATAAAATTTGTTATTAAAAAATAAATAAAAATTATGAATTCAATTATTTGTATGATTGAAAATAATTTTGGAAAAAAGAAAATAAGGGCCAAACATGAAATAAAAGTTAAATTCACGTAAAATATTTGTTACCACAATTTTAAGCCTTGGAATTAATGTTTAATTTTGACCGTATTTATAAATTGATGATTGCCAAATGGAGGCTAAATGAGAGACATCATATAAAACCTTTTTACGTATATACTTATTCTCTATTGTGTTAGTAGGGTATGTAACTTTCACCGTTGGAGATGTTAACTGATTTTGAAATTAGATTTCCCTTTTCGAGGTATATAAAAATTAGATTTTTAGTAAATTTTGATAAAAAATAATAAAATATGTATTGAAATTAATAAAATTTATGGATCCCATTA